ACTGTTTGCACATGTGTGCGTGGTTTTTGGAACTTCACCTTTCGAGTGTTTTGTCCGATACCGCCGTTAAGCATTTTATAAGATTGCTGGCGCCCAACCGTTACGAAACAACGTATGTCTTTGCCCGAATTCGAACCATGGGCATCTGAAATTGACAGGTAAACACGTTACCCACTAAGCTATTATTATCACACAGGTTAAATCAAGCCAAATACTACTAAATAGGTGTACTTATCTAAATATGATTCTAGAATAGGTATGAATGGTGAGTTTCGTATAGTCGATGTTACACATTCTGTCCAAAAGTGAAGTATAAGGCATATTTTTGCTAATATCGCTAAAACTGTTGTTACTGCGGAAGTTACGCTCAAATTTCTTCAGTGTTCTTTCATCTAGCTTAGACAGCCTTCTGCAATGTGCCTTCTTTGAGCTGGCCTTGCCAGACATCAAGGCGGCCCTGTCTAGCGAGAATATCGAATGGAAAGCAGATGATTCGGGTACAAGAGCAATGGCCTAGCTCAGCGACCGAGTATCTGTGACTGTGCATTGAAAGGTCCCACTACTCTAACGGTGGATACATAGCTTATGGGACTGTATCCTGCTCAACTTGATATAGCGGGCAAGTACATACATTGAGTTAAGTCATATAGCACTATATATACATATAGATATATGTGTGCATGTGCTTACAATGCAACATTGCATCGTATCGAAAGGCAGTGATCTGCCGTGTTCATACACTGACTGACTTCGGCGTGACACCAGCTAGGAGGCGCACCATGTCACTTGAACGGGAATACACTGGGTAACATTCGGCATGGTCCCAATCGATGCTCGGCAACGAATTTGGGGAAACGAAACTAACGCCGCCTTTCCGGAGTGAGTTGACTGGTAGCCATCGCTTTCAGCTAGACGCATCTCTCCATCCTCTCTCTATTTCTCACAGAGATTGGCTACGTTCTATAGTAAATCTGCCTTTTGGAGCTGGCCACGGCAAAGGCCATTTGTCTATTTGCGTGGCCCCATTCAAGAGCCGTTCGTTAGTTCCGAAATCGTTGCTAGTGGTCATAGAGGTGGGCCTTAGTACGACAAGGCTAACGCTACGCGATGCTATGCCAAGCCCAGATCTTTTCCATCCGGAATGTCAGAACCCGTGTTAACGCCCTTGCCAAATGGGGGACGTGGCATCGGCGGGACAAGTGGAGTCTGGGCGATGTGTACGTCAGCATACGAAGGGCGCATGTCATCCGCCTTGTGGGGCCAGTTGCTATCGCTACCGGCATCCTCTTGCATCTGGAGCTGCCGCAGCCGCAGCTAGTGAAAAAAAGATTCGCCCATTTGCAATGAAATTACTTTCACTGCTACCACTGGCTGCCCTTTATTTAATAAATGGACGTAATTTTTCTTACATTGTACACCCATTACTATGTGATGTGGCCCAGTGCCACTTCTCCTTGTCGGTGCAGCCGCTGGCAGGGAAACCGCCGACGCGTGTCGCTGCGCAGCAGTCTGTCCGTTTTGCTCCTAGGACAGGGTCATAGTAGAATGCTGGCCTGTTCCTTGTCTTTTAGCAGGCTCTTTCGTCCCTTGGACATACATAACTGGAGAGTATACATGGGAAACATGCGTACGCGAATAGTAGATCTAGAAGCGCCCGGAGGTGTATCCCCTTCTCCATTGGCGTTTGTATGTTTTGCGATTTTACATTCATGAAGAGCGAGAGGGGTTGAGTATACTATCTCGCTACTTAACTTGGTGGCCGCAGGCCTGCCTTGGGATCGCGACCTCAGCCAGCCACAGAGTCATTCTGGGTCGCCCTTTTCCTCCATTTCTATATCTGAAAAAAAGAGAAAGCCTGTCCTGCTGTGTATTGACTTGTTCTATGACCTGCCCTGTTTATTCAACCAGTCGCCCGGTGCAGGCCGTTACGCTTCTTATACCCATATTCTTGTTCATAGTGGGCTTCGTGGCTTCCATTTGTTCGTTGCCGCGGCGAGGCTTTCTACTAGTTTTCACATCCCCTTGCAACCATTGTCTGCATCCGTCCCCTTCGCATAGAATTTCGCCCTCTCTATTAATTCTTTCGTTCATTTTCTCGTTCTGCCTGCTGACATTCTTCCATAAACTCATTTGTCAGCTTTCATCTTTGTGCACCCACTCCATTTGCCGTACTTTTTTTTTTGTTCTGCATGGCCAGTGTTCACCGGTGTCCGATGTGCGAGTACCCCAAGCTGGAAAGACCAGTAAATTCTGTGACGTCAACCATGGTAAAAACGCAGGACAGTTCATGTGAACGCAATAAACCTCTACGGGCGTGAGCCTGACGATTGTTTTGCTGAGGATTGAATCGTGCTAGTAACGAATGGTAACATTCGGCGCGTCGTGGCACTTTTTTTTACCATAAAGCACATAGACGCTTTAGAGCTGGCAGAATCTAACCAGCGGCGTTTACTCTGGTTGGACGAGAGAACGAACAGCAACAACGAATGCTGCTGACGAAAATTGTTTTCTCGTATTTTGGTTTTGCTTTGGCCCGCCATTTCTTCGAGTTGCTCGGTGACGGGTCAGCCAAGGCGTCGGTCGGTTTCTTCGTGCTCGATGAGGGCTGGCTTGAGTTTGCCATACCACTGTGCAGTGATGAAAAATTGGCACATTTGCATGACCGTAACGGCAGCAACACCAGGCGCAACAGGGGCAACTATAGCGACGGTTGGTTCACTGTATCTGTACATGTAAATGTGCTTGTACGAAAGAGACTTCGAGGCGTGGGTGGCCGGGCCCTGTTTCGTGGTTGGCTTTCGTAGAGCCGTGGGGAAAAGAACATACGACTGCAGCAATGGCAGTAGCCAGACAGTTGTCATCTCATGTGCCTGCTTGTTCGCACATCAACAAAAGCATCAAACAGTCGCAGATGAAAAGTGAGCCGGCGGCACCGAAGCTCCGCCAACTATCAAAGTCACGAAGAGACCGATCTGGCCCATTCTCGCTGCTTCTGCTGCCGCCTTCGCCGAACACTACCTACTCAGAAGGAAGCACAGGCAGAACGACATTGAAAAACGACGTTTCGGCGCTAACAGCAGCTGTAGCGGCTAACCAACCAACAAACTGCAGTAGTCAGCGCCGTTGGCCGCCGCAAGCCACTGCTATTCTACGAGTGGCCGCTGTTTTGCCGACCGACTCAATAAGGCCGAAGGCCGGCCGATGGGACGCTCGACAATCGAGAATCGACCGAGGCCACTGGAGCCAACTAAACCCAACGACGCAACAGTGATTGGCTGCTTCTAGCCAACATCAGGGAGTGATTCTTTTTGTTGTTCCTTGATGTCACGAAACACTAAGCTTGAACAAAACCGACGCCTGCTGCCGCGGTTCTATAGGACTCAGGCGTGAAACAAGCGCAAGTAACTTCAATATTGGTACTGGTGCTTGTAGTAGTTGTAGCAGCAGCAGCAGACAGACAGACAGACAGACAGACAGACAGATCGACTACATATCGCTGTTGTGTCGTATTTTTTATCGTTGCCTCGAGACGACGGGCAGTAGATGATAGTGTGTCTTCTCGTGTCACGCGCTGGACAGCGACCGCGACAGTTCCGCAGAGATCTGACCAACCTAGTAGTGCGAGTTATAGTCTCTGACATAGTGAGAAAGCGCATACGAAAGGGTAGTACTGCGACAAAAACATGCTTGTATGGGTGGCAAGTGCAAAACGATGCAGTAAGCTGATAATAAAGACATTCAGACGTATCTGATTCAAGATACGTATGAAGCTTACCTAGTTACTTCGTCGCATTTGCTAAGGAGAGTCAACTAGGCTACTGATGTAGGTTCACTCCATTGTTACGCACTTCACGTCATCGTCACTGTTTTGATCGTCGCCATCATCTTTTCCCTTTGTTTTCTTCTTGGTAGAAAAATTCTCATCGCGTATCGTTTACGGCGGTGCGATCGCGATCGCCTGATGGTAGACCCCATCGTATGAGAAGCAACAGTTGATGGGAAGCGATATAATGAAAAGTACTCTATAGTCAACTGGATGACTTCTATAAAGTAGTAATATACCTATGTACAAATGCTTTAGCCATACAGAGGAACAACATCTAGGCAGTGTTCGTTCCTTCTCGTTCTACTGACCACATAAGGAGGAAAAGGGGCTAGTTAAAATGCCTGATGCAAACTAAACAGAGAAGATATACACTCAAGAAGGAAGAAAGTTAAATGTTATCCTCAGGGACTTGCTGGGCTTGTCTTTTTCCTCCCCTCCTTCCATCATGTGCGTCGCTGAATATAAAGAAACCGTGAAAGCTAAAATAACGTGTCGAGACTTGTGAAGAATTATTAAGTTTACGCTCTAAACGTCCGCAAAGACGGCGGCCAGGCAGACAGGCGCCTCCTTTCGTCTGTTCCAGTGGACTGCTCTTAAAGCTGGCCGGGCAGGTGTACCGCAGCTCAGGCCCGGGATGTCAGTCCATAAAACCGGTAACCGCTCAACTGCGCATGATTCTTTTACCTCCCTTCGAAGAATATACGGCTATTTTCTTAGGTGCTGCCACATTGTGCTATCATCAGATGGAGGCTGCTTAGCAAGATTGATGTTAATGATTAGCGTCAAACAAGGTAACAGTGAGACGGTCAAGGAAATGAGTGGCTTACACGTACGACGGGAACATTATGAAATGCATACGTCAACAAATAATATGGTCGTATTATTATACATTAATATAGTTGTCGTAAAAAGTGTACAAAATACCATCGTGAAAAATACATTGTACCTTAAGACTAGGTCAAATCAACCGTTTGAATATTTTAGTTTTTGTTATATAGTTCTCAAGCATTTCGATCTGAGCAAAAATCATAACTGAGCATTAGCTATCATAAAATAATACAAGCTATCATAAAATAATACAAGCTAGATAGTGCATAGAATTCTCGCGTTGCGTATTTGAACCGGCCGCCTTATTACTAACAGTAATATTGACTTGACAATCCTTACATTTCAGGTGGCCGCCCTTTGCCACTGCACCATCGGCAGAAGGTATTCCCAAATGGGACCCTTATTGTGTTTTCACTAACAACGGATGATGCCGGCCAGTACTCCTGTGTGGCAAGAGGCCCCGATAATAACGCCACTGCCAACCTCTCGATTACGGTCAAAGGTCAGAGAACCAACGTGCAGCGTAACTCGTTCATTCTACATAGTACCTACAGCCTTCTCTTGTTTCTATATCTGCCCAATTTTCTTTAGCACTTCCAGTCTGGATCATCCAGTGACATCATCATTGGCCCGTCGACGAAATGCTTTTTCTGATGTTACGGATTACTAAAATAGCGGTTTACCCGAAATTCGTATTGTGGCAGCCGCGCACCGAGTCGTCAGGGCCGATTTAGGAGGATGGATTATCCGTACGTGATGTAAAAAATGATTAATTGGAAACCCGTATTAGCAAATACCGTGAGAGTACGGCGAATTTTCTCAATTATCGCACTCAATCGGCTTAGAACCAAGTTCGTAAGACAAAGCATATGTCTGCCTTATCAAAGCCCTATACTCGCACAACTACGGTACGTGACGCGGGCGAATCTTCAAGTTCCTTGAAGTCACTAAGATCGTGTGGTAGCAGTAACGGGGGTTCACTTCAGCTGCTACCGCCGACAAAGTCAAACGCTTTACTGTGGCGACCGACGTTCGTCCGTTTCATCGTAGGCCTTTGTGCGCCAGCGTTCGTACCCTAGGTAAAGCGTTTGTATATGGGGCCACAACAACAAAAGTAGCGAGAAGGATTAGAAAGGCAAGCTGTACCGCAAGCTTTACGATGGAAATGTGGTCGACTAGTGCAGATATGCTGAGACAATGGATACATGGCCCTAACAGCCGCCCACAGAATAACAACCCATAGTAGCTCCGCAAAAAACCATCAAACGCCCCTACCATCATCGTTGGTGTTGCAAATGCATGGGATTGGACATCGAACGGGTTAAAATGGGCTAAGGTACCCATTCTTGCGGCAACGGGGAATAACTCTCCCAGCAGCAGTTGTGAAACGATAACACTCAAGGCAGAGGAGCGCCAAATACGGGTTGCTGGCCAGAGGTCGCTTGCCGGTGTTGTATAAGCGAGTGTGGCAGTGTTGTACGGACAAAAAGACTAGGATAGCTCAACTTCGCAGAGGCAGAAATGCAACGAATGAAGCTAGAATGGAAGTGTGAAAACTTTCAATGAAATTTTTATTGGCGTTCCGCTTTTCTTTATCTTCGAGAAGGTTGGGGGAACCATAGCATGAAAAGGATACCTGGATAATGGCCTCGTTGACTAATTTTACAGGAACAGGATCCAAGAGCCTGAAGATCGAACTGTTCCTCTTTTATAGGTGGACCTACTCGGCAGATGCATAAGGCTTTGAGGCAGCCAGTCAATGCGGCGCTGAAATAAGCCGTGTTCCTAAAACGCTGTTCGAACCATTTAAAGAGAGCAACGATGACTTATTTCTTAGTTGGAGATTCGATTGAATCATGATTGTATGCAGATGAAAAAGGACCCACAAAATACTATAGAACAAAACTCTTTCCATAGAATATGAATGTACTCAGCATGAGCGCAATATGCGACCACTGAATTTTTCCCTATCCAACTCTGTTTAAGGACCTTTGTTGGCCTACACTGGAAAACACGTAATTTATGGGTAACATTGCGCGGCGTTGTGAAGTTTTGTTTCCCAACTTCATACGAACATTTGATACAACACTATTATGACACCCCATCGACATTTTACACTCGTCGTCTAGCTGAAATCCGTCATGCTTCATATACAAGGTGCGCATATCTGTAACGGCTCGTTTTGTCGCGCTCCCGATCATGATGCGGGGCTTTTTTGTCGTTACTTTCGCTTGTCTTTTCCCTGGCCCTCTTACTCTCGCCCATTCGCCCGCGTCCGCTCTAAGGTTATTCAAACCTATGTAACGTGAGTACGCTCCAGGAAAACTTTCACTTCTACCACTACAATGTCTACATAGGTATATAATGATACGCCATTTCTTTGGAGGCCTGCTTGTTTACTTTACTCGCACTTGCTTTCTCACCCTCTTTTGTTCTCTATACGCGACACGGAACGGCTGACCTCATATCTTTATCTTTACTAGTCGTAACAAAGATGTAGAACGGGACCGGTTCTACGAGACTCTTGGAAATTTGGATAGCAGCGGATAATGTTAGGGCATGACTGGAAGATGTTGAAACACAGCGTTTTGTTCAAAAGAGCCGAACGTTTCCCATTGTTCGCCGGCATCTTTCGTGTTAAGACCAGAAATACAACACTCACCCGTCAGGGCTTGAAGTCCTGTCATTCTCCACTTCCTGATGCGCCCCGTTTATCTATCTCGTTTGTAGTCGCATAGTAGCTATGTTGTTACTTTCCACTCTTACTTGATGTGGCTCGCCTGCGTTATTACCATAATACTGTGTGCGTTTGTGTGTTACTTTGCGACACACAACTTGTTGTGAAAGATGTCACTGTTGATTTTGAAATTTTCTCTCAAGACTGCGGCCTTCCGGAGCAAGTACAGCCTGACAGGACGTGGTCCGCCGCACAGCCGAACCTGGCCGTACCCTGTAAGATTTTACCGGGTCCCACCAAGGACTCGAAATGGGCTGGCAAAAGACATGCATGATCTTCACCTTTAAATCAGCATTAAAAAGAAGAAGTGGCAGAAAAGGACGAGAGGGCGAGAGAAAAGTAAAAGAGTACGCCGATGCTACTGCAACAATGATAGAAACAACCAAGCAGTATAAAATTTTTTCTGATGATCGTCTAAACCAGCCGACCGCCACGCTTTTAGCGAGGCACTGAAGTCGCCTTTGCGCCTTCGGACGGTAGTGTAAAACAGGCAGCCGCCTCCTTTCCTATATACTCTTTGTTGTGCAACCTCTGTCGCAGTCCAGTCGATCTGCCATCTGACCATTTGCTCAGCTGTCGTACGAGCCACCAGCAATGAAGTAAAGATAAAAAGAGGTCCCCATTTCACACACCCGCCCTGTTCTTTCTATCCAGCTTAGATTCCATCCCTGAACAACGGGCTGACGCCCCAGCGGAATGAGCTCAAGGTTCGAGACCCGCTTTCGTTTGTACGACGGCGAACCCTACGAGGAACGACGCCTAAAAAGGGGGAAGAGAGAGAAAGGAAGAGCCGGGAGAGGAAGACGACAGCGTCGCAATGCAGCTGTGATAACACAACCGTCGTCATTGACACCGTCGGCCGACTGGCTCAACGAACCTTTGTCGTCTCCTGTAAAATGTTAAACACGGACGATGTGTGCTAAAACGGGCCTAGATGGCGACGGAAAAGAGTAGGAAGAGGCCAGCTTCGCGCGTCGCCTAGGTGGCCTGGTCGCGCTGCTGCTACCTCTGCTTGATGGGATTGTCCTCTAATCTCAGTTCGTTGCCCCCCTCACCATTGAGGCTGATGAGGCCAAGCACTCCCGGCTCCCATTTCTCGCTTGGCAGTTATCTCCCTGTATCTCCTTCTCACTTGCTTTTTCGCAAGCGGGAAATGCAGAGCAGGACCACAACCCTATCTATCTGCATGGACTAAATCTTGACTTTCTACGAGAAGACTTCATACGCTCTGATTGCCGACTTACCCGCACGGTACGAGCTCCGTGCCTCGCTAACGAACGACGTACAGATACACAAATCACAAATGTATTTTGTCGCATGAATAAACTGGCAACAGTGTTGTTAATTAATGTGCATACAGTAAGTTGGACGTATTCTTTAGAAAACGAACTTGTACTTAGTGGAAAAATCGTCTATTGATTTTAAGATACTGCAAGTAATAAAGCATGCCGTAGAATTCCCCCGACATATTCGTCAGAACCAGTGTGATTTAGAAGTAGACAGTTGCTACATACAAGAATTAGTCTGAAATAGACTCATTTATATCAACTTCCTATATAAATCAGTCGAACCACTTCTTTTAAGTTCATGGAACTTTCGTTACTCTATAATACAAAAATAAATATATTTGATCGTACTAAACTTCGTCAATGATGCTAAATTGATTGCTTTTGTATCCATCTGATGCCAGAAATATACCTCTACATTTTGCCAAGCCTATGAAACCATTGATCTACTAGAAAAAAATTGGAAAAACGTACTGATTTCAAAAGTAATGCGACATGCTTTAGCTTCTTATATTGTTTGAGATAATATTACCAGATTTTGTTCTCCAAATTTTTCAAGAGGGGGATATGTTGCAGTAGACCAGGTATAGATGATGTTTGCGAGATATTAAACAAATAAAGGTTTACCAAAAAAAAGTTTTTTTCTTAAGTTAAGAGATCAAAAATGTTAATATTCACAATAAAAACATTTTGAATGCCCATGGTTTTTATAAGTCGACTTCGTAACAGTATTGTCCTATCTTTTCTTATTTAGGAGTAGCCTATCCTTTGATGGCTACTTGATTCGTAATTTCTAATAGTATAATAGCGGCAAAAAAGGACCTAATATGCGACACGATCCTGTACACATACTTGCTATAATCATTGCTGGCAATCTTTATGTGAAAATAGGCTAAGCTGAAATTAGACAAATCGCCTATGCAACCACCTTAGAGGGGATGCCGGTGGAACCAAATCTATTGCATAAGCAGAACCTCTCCCCCAGTCACACAACTATCACTTAACCAACTAGCATACAGTGCTATCTCTGAGCAACGGCGGTCTCCGGCCTTGCGCTGGATGGGTGTAGCTAGCAGCCATGAAACTGTTAACGCTTCTGGATCGGTCCATCACTGCTGTCTCGGGCTGCTGACAGATACAGCATAATGCTATATATGCTACATAGCATGGCTTTCTATTGCCTCAGCTGGCAGGCATCTGGCTACGAACCCAACCCATCTCAACGATGTACTGGCAGCTAGCATTTGGGCAAAAAGCCTTCTCAAGTGTCAATTAGTCCTAATGAGCAGACGAGCGACTTCTCAGCCAAAACTGCCCATCTCGTATGCTGCTGCATGTATAGCAAGGAGGAAGGCTCAGAACGGCAAGCCAGCCTGCGTCTGTTGGCCTACTTGCCTCCTTACGCGTGCGTTTCTTTATCGTGCTCAAGGCGTCCTTCGTAGGCTGCTGTGTGCCTGTGCCGTCTTCCTATATTCCGTTTCTAACGGGGGTTGATCGTGCCAAGGAGAGCCAAAAGCCTGAAGCCTGCCTCACAGCGGGTTAGGAGAAAAGGTACTGGCCGCGAGAAGCTAACCGCCTCATTTTTTACGGAGCGCTGTCGAAGCTGACGCAGCCGTTGGTACCTAAAAGGCCGAGAGATCAGGCCCAAGTCCGAGCTTTCCCGCGTAAGGAAAATGGAAAAATGGAGGAATCGCTACTTCCGTCGTTAGGCCAGAAGTATAGGAATGGTTCTGTCGGCCGGCCGCCAGGATTCCACTGTCTACCGCAAAACGCCGCTGACTGAGCTGGCGTGTGAAGCACATTCATATAGCAGAACAGAGTAGCATGTGGATAACGCCTCTGCTGGCGCCGCTTCTACTGCTGTCGCTCCTTTTCTCCTAATTCTCATTCTTCGTCGAGGTCGCCGTCGACCTTGAATGCCAAGGAAGGCATAGGTGGAGCTTCGGTAGCCTCAGGCTTGCGACACTGCTGTAAACAACCAGCTGGCAGGACGAAATGGTCGGTAGAGAATAATGTGGGAACGTGTGTGTGACACCGGAGCGGACAGGCCACGCTAGGTAGCGCCCAAGAATAGTAGCAGTTGGGACGAAACGGTATGGACTGAGGAGACTAGGGGCGGCACTGATGACGCATTGGCGAGCTAGTAGGCGACCATCAGTGGCAAGTGGGTGCTTCTGAGGTTTGGACTTAAGGGCCTCTCTTTTCTCATCGAAGCTGAGTTAATTGGACCACGTGAAAGTTGGCGGTGGCACTACGCGACCGGAAGGTAGCTCTAGCGGAGTAGGTGTTAGCTGCTAGCAACCACTCGCGGAAAAAGTTCCTACTATGGTTCGTGTCAAGCGGCGACACTGAATGAAACATTGCTAAGGAAGCTAAGAAGCCGCTTCTCTTCCTGCCCTGTCCCAGTTGACATGGCTGCTTGGGGAAACGGCAACTGAGGTAGGGCGATTTGGGCTTTCTGGAGCTCTAAACAAGGTGTGGGCAGCAACTAGGGACGAATGGGGGGTCTTTCCCGAACAAGTCTAACGGAGCACCCCTCCGGGTTCACCGGCAGCAGAAACAGCAGCATAGCGCTGCTACCCTCATAACGACGAGGTTAAAGAAACGTACCTGGTTAACTGGAAATATTCGTAGGGCATGTTAGCTTTTAGGTTCTGGTCTATCGTTACTACTGTCTAAAACACCGTCCCAGACTCTACCACAAACAGTAGCAAATGCCAGGCGCCTAATTTTAGTGGGATTGCGCGCGCATGAGTGGTGAATATATGCACTTTTTCTGGAAACGTCAATCACCGTGAAAAATAGGGAAAATGCCTAAAGCAATCGAACCTACTTGAAAACATACAAAAAAAAAATCTACTACGAACAGGTGTTGCCTAAACGAGATGTTAGTAAATCTGATGGTAGAGCATTTTTGCGCTTGAATTCTCCGCATTAGGATTACAACGCGCCATCATTAATTATCTATTGACGTTTTCCCGCGGTAACCTAAATAGGTGTCGTGCGATATTGAGACAGATATACGTTAGACTGCTTTTTCCACCCAATTGAGGCACTCTGTGTGCCTATTAAGTGCCTAGCAAAGAAGAATGTTTAAATTAGTTGTTGAACGAAAGTTTAAAGATCTGACATGACTATGCAAAGTAATAGATCTAACTGAATAATTTCTGGCTCAATCTTATGCAGTTCTTAATAGAGATTTGTGTTTATAAGAGTGCATGGATTTTGCCAGTGCAGCTATTGTTAATTGGATCTGGCTGCCTACGTAAGTTCATTGATGAACACGTGACAGTATAGAATTATTATCGTGTAGATCTGATTTTGATACGTTCCGCCTTTTTCTTTCCACTTTCAATATAACCTAGAGCCTTCAAGCAGGTTTTTCTTTGGAAACCACGGCACTACCATACACTAACGAACAGCACAACCAAAAACATTCTACGATTAAAACGTTATACAATGCTCTTGATACTTGTTCCCTTGCTGTATCGTTTGTTGAGAATATGTATTGACAGACTTGCCTGCCTGTCCTTTGCAAACACATCGATTAGTTGGTGAGAGTGACGGGTAAAATTTTTCAGGAAGTGTGAATGTTTACGAGAGCAGATTTCCGTTGCGCATACTGTGTACCCTGAAAAGAGTGGCATTCGACAAAGGCAACCTAGCCTGAAAGGCCTGCAGGATACTGGTTAGGCATGGTAACTTGACTGGCAATCACAGCAGCGGCACCATAGCTAGCTCGTACTCTATGACTATCTCAGACATATGGACAGTGCTACTTGTAGGACGTGGCAGTTGACGGTATGCTGGCCGGTGTGGCAACATTTAGTCGCCTGTGCAGAAGAGTTCAGTGAAGAGACTACGCTCTATAGGCACGAGCTGCTCTAATAATAGTGGCAGATTTGGAGCGAGCCGAGCTGGCCTGAAAGCAGGAGGGACAGGGAAGGCCTAAAGGAGCTGTTCGCAGCTGGAAGTAACAGGACGAAAAAAATAGACTCGTACACCATCAGGTGGCAGAAACTAAACGGTTACCAAGTAATAGTTCTGGCAAGGCTTGTAGGGGCTATCCAGCCGGCGTTTCCCTTTAAGTTACCTGCCTCTTCTAACCGGCGAAGGTTTCACCGCTAACCAACGCAGTGCCGAAACGGTAAAACTGCCGAAGTTTGAACTAAAAAGCTACACACTCCGGTAGCTAAAAGACAAGTGGCCGTTGCGTGAGAGCCATTATGTTACTGACTGGCGTTTAATGTGCTGGAAAGATATTGCAGTACACTTCTGCGACCAATTGCTTTTCTCGGCGTCTCGTCTTAACGTCCTCCCACCCGTTCATTGCCATCTTGGCCTTCAGTTCCTGCCCAAGTTTAATACGGCCTGGACATCAGTACCGACTCCTACCAGTGCCGCCTTCGTGGAATGAACTGCCGCTAACTGGTTAAGCTCTCAGTTGTTTTAGTCGCTTGAGGCCTTCCTTGCTCGCTGCATCCGATAATACCTTTTTCCCAGTTTTAATACGCGCTGTGCCATAGAGAAGAACTACAGCGGAGACTAAGAATTAGGGGTCAGCCCGTTTCTTGGGAATGTGATGCGGTATGATACGACGGTTAGAAACAGTCAAGGCACACGCCACTATTACCAAACGCGGCAAGAGGCCACGGCACTTGCCTTCCACCAATGCTTCATGCTCGCTGCTGCCGATCGTTGCCGAAATTGCAAGAGCGCTACTAGTCCTTCATGTTGGCATGTCCCTCTAACAGAACATGTTTCACCAGTGTTGGTTTGAATTGCTTTTTCATACGGGTAGGCCTGTTCAAACATTAGAAAGCGCGAAATTCGACAGGGCGTTATAACCCGCGACCTCATCTCGAAAGAGAAGCTTTGCATTTTGGTTGCCTGGATGTATCAGCCCGACGAGAATGGAAAGACAAGCAGGCATCGTGCTTACCTCTCAATCCTTCGCTTTTCGTTCTAGTTGTTGTGGCTGCACTTAGCTGGCCGCTACTTCTAAGGTCATAATGACATCGTTTCCATGCAAATGGCCCTTGTACCAGCAGTGGTGGCAACGACGGGATACCGCGATGGCACCGTGACCCTTCTAGACTCGAAGACCCACGCTTCGCTTTGTCGACATCGCATATTTGACTGTTACGGTAGTTCCTGCAGCCGACCGACGTTGCTGCGACCCGTATTTTCTCCTGGACGGAGGGTTCCTCTTTCCACACCTCGCGCCTGCCGTGGCCTTGACTCTGTCCGTTGCGACTAGCATTCGTTGTAACGGGCGGTTAGGCGAAAAGAGAGAGAAAGACGCGAGGCACAACGGGCGGGCTCTTCGGCAGCACGCAAGAACAACATACAACGAGGGCGAGGATTCATAATTACTAACAATAATAATAGTAGTGACGGCATGCTATGGTCCACGAGGTGAAACTGGTGGTAGTATTTATATAAGGAAATATAAGGTATCGAGCGTCGAAAGCAAGATGCTGACTCAGCGTGTCGAGGTTGAGCGAGTACGCTTAACCTCAGCCTGCTCGTGCTCCAATGACGGAACCCACTTACAATAAGTGCTAGGGTAAGATTTGGAAGTATGCTCAGAGTTTAGCGTCGTGAGATCATCGCTAAGGCCATACCATCGATAATTAATGGAATGAATAGTTTTATTCAACAAGTATATGATAGGCAATTCCGTGTAGCAACAAGTCCCCTACTACTGTTCCATTTCCCATTCAAAGTTTCCTACCTCAAAGCCAAAGCTTCGTAAATACGGTTGAAACAGAGAAACAAGACGAGCATTGTGCGCATGCAATCGGTTGTCGACGATATTCCATGTTAAAGCTCGGATGGCCGTGCAAGTTAAGCTAAACCACAATCAACTGATTAGCCGCGATAGTGAGACATGTCAGAACTTAATTTCTAAGAGCGTAAAAATCGTACCTGAATTAGTTATGGAGTGACATCTATTTACACTGATATCGGTTAGTTTGGATTCTATTCATAAAAATCTCACTAGTATGTTTCACGTCCCGAATTTTTCAGTTCCTCCTCTGATCGAGAGGTTCGCTTTCGACGAGAATTTATACGAAGGGATGCGAACCCGTGTCTACTGTAACATTGCTAGAGGCGATCAACCACTTACAATCCGCTGGTTGAAAAATAACTTACCGTTGCAATCCGGGGCACAACTACAGGTAAGGCAGCCGATGCGCTACGTGATGCACAATTTGCTATCCGACCACCTAATCCGTAAGCTAGTCCCAACGGCCACAGTGTAAACTAAAAGCTGCAGGCTGATTTAATTCACAAGTAAAAGCCTCTGTTACGTCAAGAAAAAGGTGAATTGTACCGTGTTGGGAAACGACTACGTTTGTCTCGTTTGTCAGCTCAGCGCGGGTCGACACCTGCACGGGATGAATAAAAGGTCCATCCCATAATTTTTCTCTCCCTTTTTTTCTCTCGGCCTGTTTTGTTTTATCTTCGTAGGTGCGCTCTCTGGATGCATTCTCCGTAGCGTTGGTCATCGATGCCTTGAACCCCGCTCACAATGGAAACTACACCTGTATGGCGAGCAACGACGCAGCTGTTGTAAACTATACGGCGATACTCATGGTTCACGGTAGGTTTACAATTTTCACATGTTTCGAATAAGTTTTAGCACTGCAGTTGCCAGCCAGGACTAGGAGTCATGGAGGATCGCGGGAACCGAATAGACACTGCGCATTAGTTCTAATTTTGTCAGAGTAATGACGCATTCTTGCTAGCTTGAATGTAACAATCTTAAGATTAAACTCTGCATTTATTTGTCTTACGATAACATTTGCTAGAAACGTTGTATAATCTTGCTGACTATGAGGACCGAGTATATGTACTGCGACAGGTCAATAAAGGAACTTATAGGTCTACAACAAATAAACACGTGTTTACTCTAATTTGACAGTTCCACCTCACTGGGTTCGCGAACCGAAGGATTCATCAGCTGTGGAAGGTTACAGTATCCACGTAGACTGTATGGCTACTGGGCATCCTCTACCGCGCATTATTTGGCAAAGGGGAGGGACAGGTAAACAGATAATGGCGCTTCGATGAGAGAGAATGGTTTGCGTTCAAATACGTGTTGCATTGCAAATGTAATATCTAATAAAAAAACAGAAGAATTACTTACATACAAAAGCCCACAAAAAAAGATAGTCAGGTTGTGTCGTTTTTACGAATTGGTAGTACTAATGGAGGTTATTCTAAGCAAGTTCTGTGCTCCGTTGTAATTGCACTTCGTCGTACAAAAAAATATTGCAGAACGCCAATCATCAGAATACAAGCAAATCCTGAGTGGTCCCGATTACCAGATCTTTGAGAACGGCACCCTGCGTATCGCAATGGTTCGTTATCAGGATCGCGGTCCGTATCTCTGTCAGGCTGCCAACGGGGTGGGATCCGGCCTAAGTACGGTGGTCCAGCTAAATGTTCAAGGTTCGTGCAATCACTGCCGGTTCATGTTTAGACTTGTGAAGGCAGGAAACGATAGAGGGCTCCAACCGACATCCGTTCTCGAGTAACGAAAAGTGGAAGTTAACCGAGGAGAAGTGACCAACGCTTGGGTGCTGGTTATGGTCTGCTTTTTCACGCGGATATACACAGACGATCAAGATGAAATGGGCTGCTAGATCCGACAAACTTTGCTTGGCCTGACTGGGGATCCGCTAAAGCGGCGGCGCTTTAATAGAAAATGTTTGAAGAAACGGGGACTAAACTGCCTTCCCTTTCTCGACTCGCCATATTGATAGTTACGCTTTTCGTTAGTCGCTAAGGGAGCGGTGCTGGTTGCGCAATTTCTTTGACGCAGGGTTTAACTGCTTAACAGAGGTGCACTGTAGCAGAAGGCAATGCTATACTCAGCTTTGAGATGGGCAGTGAGCAGGAAGTTATGAGGACAGGCGAAAACCACTTTGAAACTAGTCCGACTTAACTTGGCTATCTGTTTGTGGGTTATGTGACTTGCAGTGCCGGCTCGTATCGAACATGCGGTTCACAACAATACAGTGAAACTTGGCTCGAAGATGGCACTCAACTGTCCAGTGCGAGGTGACCATCCGATACGTGTAAGATGGTCAAAAAACGGGCAACCAATAGGCAAGGAGTCAAAAACATTCGGGGTGCACGAGAAAAATTCGGCGTTGGGATTGATTTCAAGCCTTGTCATCCATAAGGTTGCACGCGAGGACTCCGGCACGTACACTTGTGCTGTTAGTAATAAGTTCGGCAACGACGAAATGCAAGTTCGGCTTTACGTGCAAGGTACGTAACCTTTTTAAAGCTAACATTTGTTATTATTATTAACGTTTGCTAATCTATTTGAATCTTTACGGCAGCGTTTATTTGAGATAGATAAATAGCATACGCGGAGCACGAGTTACGGTGGCTACGATAAAAATAGCCCAAATATGATAAGTAAGAATGGTTTTTGTTATTTATTATTAGGTGAAAAAATTATTTGAATAGGAATTAGACGGGGGTCTGGGGCTCAAAAAAGACTTCAGCAACTGGATTGACATATCTGGGAAATATACGAGAAAATGAGGATCTGGGCTTTTCAGAAGAGAACTGTTCAAAATGCTGAAATTGTTACTTATTTGGCTGCATTAGCCATCTAGCATGAAAATAATACAAAATTAGAATATAGATACATCCAATACTAAAACAAAGCTAATGTCACATTTTTCTATTGTCCATTTCTGCAGCTGATCATATCCGACGCCATTTATCGCTTCTGCCTATCTCATAAGCACAATAGGGTTTATGATAAGTCAGATGAATCCACGACGTCGACAATGATTGGCGTTAGTTGAATCGTTGGATTCATTAAATCTGCGACATAGTTATGACAGGAGGAAATGCCCACATGAGCATATTATTTGTCGGATTGTCTGTTTGTCATTACGACGCTGCCTAATACATTTTCATTGTATTTTCTACTTACTCTCTCCACCTGTGTCGGCCGCGCCTTTCGCTCTGTCTTTGATTCAAGGCCTTTTCTCGCATGCGTCGATTTGTGTCTCTCAGTGACTTTTTTTTTTGTCTGTAACTCCAATTGTTGCCGCGTTGGGCTAGTTTTCGCGGTCGCATCCCCTAGCAAAGAAGCGGCAGCAAATGGAGCCAGTGTCAGCAGTTGCCACTTGTCAGCCATCCACACAAGCGGAGGCGCGACACGAATTAGATAGAATCACTTCGGGTAACAGAGTCGAGCGAGAGAGAACAAACGGCGCTGCAGAAAGGACGGGGAACAAGGAAAGCATGGAGCAAGTCCAAAGGGGAAAAGACCTGGTTATCATATTACCATTAGTAATTGGAGAATTGTTTCTTCTTTTCTCTTGTTCGTTCGCTCGTTTCCTGATTTATTTGCTGGCGCAACTCGGGTGGCTGTCCATCCGATCACCGTCCCGTCGTTGCACGACCATCGGTGCACCTTCGCTTCGTACGTTGTCCGGTCGACGCCTTATTCTGTGCTGCTGCTGCTGCTGCTGCTGTTGCTAATGCCATGGTTCGTACCGGCTCTTGTCACGTTGGACCGCTGTCCGGCCACACTCTGCTACCATTGTCCCGTCATCATGGCTACATTGGACGCACTACTTGTCGTTGTCTGCGTCGTTATGGTTGCTGCTTTCGCTCCGGCCGCCGTGGACAACTACACTTCTGCTATTTCGTCTCTTTTCATCGACTGGTTTCGGTCCGTGTTTGACGTCGTCTTATACGTCGTTCGATCTCCTTCTTCCTCTACTTCTGCGAACGCCGCCCGCTTGCTTTTTCGACTTCCTGTCTGTCAATCTTACCGATGCTTTGTCGACGTCTTGGCATTCTGCTCTTCGTCGGCAACAACGAACGAACGCACGCACGCACGCACGAACCCTGCTCCTTACAAACCATTTTGTCCTACCCGCTTACTTTGACCCTGCGTCGTTGTTGCTGATGCCGTGCCACCGTGCTACCTACATCGCGTAGAACCGCCGGAGCCCGTCGAGGGCTTCAACATTACAAGTGTCAGCAGTCGAAGCGTTAACGTCGTCTGGCGAGAACCATATAATGGCAACAGCCCCATCACTTACTATCTCATACAGTATAAAAATAGGACAGGTTGGTAGCGTTTTTCGTTTTCTGTTTTTATCTGCTTCTATAGTGCTGTATACTAGTTATTTCCTAACAAGTAGCAGATACCTAAGTAGATACGTGCGGCATCTCCATAGAGAATAGTCGTGTCTGTCTATTTGCGGGGTGTCCCCCAATCTGTTGACAGAGTCGCTGCCGCCGTTTCCCACCTCTTTCTTTATTTTTTTGAATTTCTTCACCGGGCGCCGCCAACCTCGGCTGTGACCACCCTTATTCTTATCCCCACTTTTTTCTGCATTATTTTTCTACTTGTCGTTGCTATTACCATTCGTAGGAAGACTAGCACGGAAAAGGCGTAGTTTGTTTCTCTTGTTCTTGTCGCGGCCCGTTTTACCTCCAGTGTTGTTTACTAGCCGACGCTCTGCCCATAGCTGGCGTGGATAGGCCGCTGGTTTTTTTTGTCGTCGGCAGCGTAAACAGCCAAGTAACCTGGTCGCTGTTTGTAACTGTACGGCGACTCCGACCCAACCCATTTTACCCTTTCGTGGGCCCATGCATGGAATAGGAGTATTTCTGTATGAGTGCGAGAATTCATATTCCCACAACAAAAACAAGCGCCAGCTGTCCCGGAAGGGGGAGGTTGACCTCATTCATGTTTTTGGCGTGACTAATGCTCCGGTGCGTCTTCCGTCAACAAACAAATAAAGGCCAAGCGTGAAGGATGTTATCTACTATAACGAGGTACGCAACGCCACGTTGAACATGTGGTTAGACAATATAAAAGTCCCTTTTGCTGACCATATACATTGTGGATATATTACTTCAGCTACAAGTCATAATGAACCGGTGAGATACAACGAGAGTGTTGAGTGCAAAAGCGCTACGACAATTCATTTATATAGAGCAGTAATAGTAATGAACATCAGTAGCAGCAAAAGTAATAGTCTATGGAACAACAGGATGAACATACGCGTGGCTATAGGGTATTATTATCTTAGATTCGATGCATTCAATTGTGGACGTTCGTTCACGTGTTCACGTATAGTCTGGCACATCCTTGCCATCCAGTAACTTCTTGTAACTTGTATATGCACCTGTTAGAACCGTCAATATGATTCAAGCAAAATGTTTTGAAATTGCATTGCAGAAAGTGCGTGGGATAGTGAACAGACGATTAACGTAACGGTACCAGCTTCTGAGCAGACAAGCTGGACCGTGCGCGGTCTCGGGCCCGATATCCTGTACTACTTTCGTATACAAGCCGCCAATGAGGTCGGCATTGGACCTCCATCAACGAATCTATTGAAGATGCGTACGGAAGAGGAGGTGCCAGCCGGCCCCCCGACAAATGTCTACGTGCAGGCCGCTGATTCCACCTCGCTACGTGTATCATGGAATGTACGTAAGCAGCTTAGATATTGTTAAGAAGCACGGTAAGAGAGTTCCCGGAGCGCAGACAGGATCTGGGGTAGAAACAACAGCGACACCAAAGACATTTACCATATCCTTCTCGTTTCTTCCTTTTCCTGTAATAATCATTTGCCCCCAATATATTTTATTACATTTCAGAGTATAATACCAGGGCATTGTAGCAGTGGCGTTTTGTTATTTAGAGACACTAGCTATTCTGCGTAATTGTACATAATACGCCTATTCTGAGCGATTTTCCACTGCTAGCTACTAGTGGTGCAAGTTCCGCTCGTATTAGGGACGCAGTACTATACGAAGCGTGCCAGCGGGGCCAAGGGCTTACTCCAAATGAGCCATCACTAGTGCAATTGTAGGGTTTCAGCCTAACGGTTAAACTAACTGTAGCAGCCTAACGGTTAAACTAACTGTAGCTGCAACTTCCTTTTTTCACGGATAGACATACACACATAGATGATTTTGACTGCGTCTATTTATATATAAATAGTTTGCTGTTAGTTCGCACTCTATTAATACACGCATAGGTATTATGATATACGAAACGTGTGATTAAATAAAATACAGGGCATATACGTCCATACCGATTTATACGCACTTTATCTACACGTATATGCAGATCGAGAAAATAGTAAGATACGCAAACATCATAAAAGGCATTGTAATCATCTGCTTTGATTTTGACGTCGTTTCTTTTCCAGCCCCCTGTTAATGAACTACGGAATGGTCGCATCAAGGGCTACTATGTGGGCTATAAGCTATACAATTCCAGTGAGCTTCACCTTTACAAAACAGTAGAGGCGAAAGCGATGAAAAACAGTGGCCAGTTAGGCGAATGTATGCTACACAACCTGCGAAAGTTCACAAAGTATTCGATCCTAGTGCAAGCATACAACTCGATCGGCGCGGGGCCGCGATCGGACGAGATGGTCGTGTCAACCGCGGAAGACGGTAAGTAGCTTCCATCACGGTCGCAATAGCTACTATAGTCGAAGAGTCTTGTCTCCTTACCATTTGGCTCTCGTCCTTCCGACCTTTTTCCACTGCTGAACAAACGAATGAACGATAGTAATAGATCCGTTTGGCCAAATGGGGCGAAGAGCTGCACCCTTTCATTGACTAAGAAAAAAAGGAAAGCTAACCAACGAAAGAGTCCATCCATCGAAGGAGGTATATCGCTGCTCGCGGCGTCAAAAATATCGTGGTCGGCTTTCATTAGAGGAAGGCCGTGGCGACGAGGGGCCTGCTGCCTGACGAAGCAAGCACCAGACAGTTCGTTCGTTTGTTGTACGTCGATGGTCACTTGATTTTTCCGCTTTCCTCGCTTACCCATCTCTCACTTTGTGTGCATCTGTATGTGTATGTGTGCGTTTGTCTAACTTTTTCCTGTCTGTTCCCCTCTACATCTATCTATCGGCCCGTATGTCCCGGTGACGTGATGCTTCACAGTGCCTCAGATTGCGCCGACAGGCGTCTATTGCCACGTCCTTTCAACCAGCTCAATGAAGGTGTCTTGGAATAGTCTCGACGTTTCGAAGCTCGATGGAATTCTCCGCGGGTACCAGGTCATCTATCAACTCGTCGATACGCTAAAAAGTAAGTTCGCCATTTACCATTCAGCCATCCGCCTTCACTGGCCATGAACATCTGTAGCCAGCCGGTAGCGGTTTTGGACTAGATCCCAGACCAAGTATGACTAGACTAGAGTATAATAGCACAAAGCTACATGTGCTGGCTGGGTACGGTATCAAAACACCAGTGATATCAAGATACTGTAACATCAATCTCTGCTATTTTGGCCTGTCATTTACAATCCACACAGCAGTTGTTGGTGTCACCGTTATCGTTTCCTGTCGTCAACTTCTCGTCATAACACTTACTGCCGTTGGGGAAGGGATGAGAATGAGGTTCGGGGGAGTATGAGAAAAATAGCTTTTGCCGGCGGAGAAAAGGCTTGACTTGGCGTTTGGTCGATCAGCGTAGACCAATGGCTCCGCCCCCGGAAGGCGCGAACTCCTTAAGTGATGAAGGGAACATCAAAAAGGCCTTGTCGATATTTGCTCCAAACGGATCAGCAAGCAGTGGAGTCCCACCAGCAGTGGTTACGGCAGCTTCGTCCATCTAGTGCCTTCGCATCATATCATGCCAATGACAACGCCGTGGGTCCCTTCTACTTACCGGCATCTCGAGAAGCTGTTCCTTGTCGCGTACATGATAGCGGGGTTTACTGCATCGCCTTCTTCTCCTATTCATAGCCAAAGTGACGGAGCAAGTACTCTATAGTTGCCTTCGACACTATCACAGACGCCGTAATAGCCACAGGCTGCACTGAATCTCTAGTTAGCAGCGTAATGCAGTCTAGTTATAAACCAATCGTACGCCAATGGGACTATACCTCAGTGTAGCTCTATTTTTTGCAGAGTAGAACTGCTGTTTGCTAGCGTTGTTACGAGTCGAAAAAGAACTAGTGGGCCTAGACAAGCCAGTCTGAAATCAACCCATCTCAATTCAACCGAATGGGTACGGGGCGGTTGCGCCTAAAGGAGCAGCGTTTGCGTATCCGAAACCTCTTCTCTTTGTCTCTATCTCCCTCTTTCCTCTGCAGTTTCGTATCGCTGTCGTGGTCATCGTCACGGCATAGTTCTCCTTTCTCCGTACTCTCGTGTGCAATCCCAGCCTTTTCCCTTTGGTAACTCTTTCTGCGGGAACCCGAATAGATGGGTTGCGTAGCCTGACCACGCGGAGCACGCCCTGTAGACGGTTCCCCACCTACTACCCTGAATCAGCTTCCTGGATTTTCCATTGCCGGAGCAGTGGCAGCGGCTATCGCCGCTACTACCGGTGCCGCCGACGACATCCCTCTCCGATCTAACAGAGCGAAATAGCTGTACTTCTTAAATAAGTGCTTCAGCCGTTTTTGCTGGTTTCCTATTCATCGGCAAAGAGTAAGTGGGAGAGAGCCGTTAACTCTCTAGCTAGCATTGGCAGAAACGGGAGCAGAACAGGCAGAGAAACAGTTCTCCATAGGAGATTGCCTGGTCTTTCTATTCTGCGTACGCTTCCCGCATAGGTTAGCCAAGCGCGTTGTTGGTTAGTAGGCGAGCAGCGCCAACAATTGTGCCTTTGCGGAAAGAAGAGGACAGGTGGGTGGCTCGCCTATCTGCCGTAGACGAGTTATAGCACAAATACTAGTAGTAATAGTACTACTGCGTGACGGACAGCGTATTTGATGCTCGCTTTTCGATCGTGTCGCGGCCCGGCTCGGCAATGACCTGCTTGGTCGGGCACCTGCCCCGTTTCCTTATTCCCACAGAAATGAATGCATCGGTCAAGCTGCCTGTTACTGTTCCCCTTGTAGACTGCACGGAGCGGAATACGCTTTTGTGTAGAAGCATCTGGAAAGCGATTGCACTGCGGCCATCACCAAGACTGCTGCGCCTGGACACAAGGACTGGCGGTTACAGCTGGCCCTTAGTGAGCTGCCAGATGCCTGCCTTCAATTAGCCGGCAGCTGGTCTGCTGGCTGCTGCTACTGCTGGCCTTATTCAAGTTGTCATTTCCTGTTTTTTGTCCCACCTTTCCAGTGTTCCCACGACGGCCATTTACCCTTCTTTCTTTTCCTGCCCTCTTTCGTTCCCTCCCTACTAGCACCCTTTTCTGCACAAGACGCGAGGACTTCCTGCAGTGTTAGTCTTCTCGGCAAGCTCCCTTATCTGCAACTGCAACAGTAATAGCTGTGGCCAGTAGTAGAGGGGCGCCATCAGCAAGGCCGCTTCGCTCCTTCCAGATATTTATGATTAGAGGCAATTCGTTGTTGCCTCATTTAACAGCACTAAGCAACTAGTCCGCGTCAAAGTTGGGCCAGCCTCGGCGCGCAACTCTTAATCTGGCTTCTCATCTCTTTTTGGAGTTCTTACCAGAAGCACCTCTCTTGACAGGTATAGTGCCACCTGTTTGCTTAAATGGTCGTGTCAGACGGTCCTTGTTCGCCAGCCAAATACCGATCGAATGATATTTTGCGCTTTCGTTAGCTGCGTCGTGTCCATTATTATATGGTACTAATTGAATCGTTACATTCATATTTTAAGCAAATTAAATTTTAACGCAAACAGTCCTAGCAAGCTTGCTGCGGTTTTTACTACCTACTACGAGTCGCGGCTTTCTCCTTTTGGAGCGTCTTTTGCGCATGTGCAGTCGAGCTAACGGCTGCATTATTGCAACTTTTCCTTAGTGTCATCTGTCCTTCGACGAAGGTAACAGTAGTCGGTAAAGAGAGAATAATTTATCAGATTTACCCATATTAAATGAATACTAATTCGCTTTGCTATCGTGCCTGTTTCCAGTTGGCCAACGGGAAACGGATGATGTGTCTACGTCCCTTCAGGTCGAAGGCCTTGAAGTCTACTCGAATTACTCTATCCGCGTGGCGGGCATTTCAGGCGGAGGCGTCGGGCAGCGCACCACACCAATCTTCTGTAGGACTCACGAGTCTGGTGAGTAAAACCAATGGTTTTCTTTGCTGGTTTCTAGCCGGCCCACTTCTGACTGAGTGACTAGAAGATCAGCAGTTTTTGGCCGACAAAAAAACAGTCGCGGCATCAACAGCAACGATCGGTTATGTCTTTCCTGTACAGATTACTGCCTGAATATTGCTATTTTCGAACCAAACGCTGTCACATGCTCCAAGATGGCCAACCGGATGTTGGCCACTGAATTGCCCCGACCTCCGCTTCTCTCTTTATCACGTTATATTTTAATGCTTTAGTCGTTCTATCGTCTTACTTTTACATCTATGTGCAATTTACTTGAGTCTTTTTGCCGTTCACAAGGTTACCTTAGAAACCTAAAGCTGACCACTGGTCGCTCCTTGTGGTACCAGCAGTAGGCGCTGGTTGCGCGATCGATTTTTATCGATATGCTCAGATTAGTTAAAGTCTATTACGTCACGCACGAGTTAGCTGACGTATCTGTCATTCTACTTCTACGCAACTGAAGACATCGTGACCTCTTTAGTCCATACAATAGTCAGCGCTTTCAACTAAAGGGTAGACAGAGGTCTTTCTTTCAGCCTCTTTATAACCGCTGCCACCATCAGTGAGACCAGCTAATAAATCCTGCCAGTCGTTTAGATGAAAAAGGAAAAGCGAACGTAGGCGATCGGTCCAGACTACCCATAGCTACCGCTGACCGCGAAATAAAGCGGCTCGCAGTTAGTAGCTAGCAAGGCCAATCGTTTATATCGCTTACGACAACTAATGGTATTCACTGGCACAACAAGAACGTGCAAATATGAGAAAAAAGATGAAGAGGAAGAAAGCTGTAACCGAGGAAAGTACGGAAGGAAAGAGGACTTAAAAAAGTTGACGTGTCTTACCTTCTCTCTCTCTCTCTCTCTCTTTCTATAGATATATATATATATATATATATATATATATATATATATATATATATTTAGAGGGAGCTAGCATGGAAAGAGACGATGGCACAGTGGAAACTGGCAATAGGGACCAGCGAACCCTGTTTATTTAAAAAGTCCCTAACACTTTTGGCCCCATCACCCACTGCGCTGCTGCTCACCCTCGAGAGCATAATTAATGATAGATCCGAACTAGCGCAGCAGTACTACCCGCACTAACAGCAGCCAACAACGGTTTCCGTGTCCAGGAGAGTTCTATATCACAAGCATACGGCGGACCCCACCACCCACTCGTCAACCGAAAAGCTCCGCCCAGCGTCCCGCCACTACAATCGATCCCCCAATGTTTTTCTCCTACTATACTTTGGTAGTGTGCCGTATGAACAGGAACAGTTTGGTACTATCACGACTTCCTGCGGTCCGGCGGCTTTAGATTGCAGCGTAAACTTTACCTTCATTTATCTTTCAGGCTCAAAGCTCGGCATCTCATGTCTGCTATCGTACCTAAGAGTTGTTCATTACGCCATCTATTGGCCCTATACGTAACTTCTCACTGTTGGGCTGAACCCGGGCTGAGATCCGACCAGGACACACAAACGTACTCAGGGACGCACCTCTGTTACTATCATAGCAGCTATAGCTACTGCGATTCTTCCCGACATCGTTGCTCTGCAGCCTGCTCATCCTCGACAGATTTTTCTTATGCTGTCGCTCATCAACTCACTACTTCTTGATCTGAGTTTCTCTCAGTTAGCCGGAACAATCCGACTGAAGAACACTGCTGGACGACTTGTCCGCTCTCGGGCCTTGCGCTGAGAATGTTAGCGGCAGTCTTTCCTATCGCCGTTACCATCTCGACTATTTTTGCTGTTGCTAAGGGATACGATTGTTTTAATTGGATCCGCCACCGTTGTATTGAAGTGTCAGAGTGATTAACCACGCATGCATTGACATCGACAAGCCTTTCTTGTTCCATTCAATGGTGCACACATATTTGATAGGTAAATAGAGGAATTATGCCAAAATTTTGTTTAAAGCTTGTATAAAACGAGGAGGTCTGCCGCCAAAATAGCAAATGTTATTTCACTCGGAACGATCGCCACATCTGAAATGAGCCTCAGCTTGCACCGTAGCCCTAGACTCTACGTATAATTACCTTGCCGCTTTGCCTAAATATCTTCTAAAGGGCAGGTTGACGCGCACGCTGGGCAGGCGCATATGACCAGAGTTGTAGGCTGCTGTGTGCCGTTGTTGCAACTGCCTCTAGCGATTTAGAAAGGCTTTGCCAGCATCAGCTTCTGTCATAATCGGTCTATTGTGGAAACTCGGCACGTTTTATCAAAATTGGCAAAGAAAATAGTACGTTACAGGCGTAAGTGTAGCAATAATCGAGCCTTGGGAAAAGTGGCCATAGTTCATTAGGAACGATAAAATCAAATCTTTTTAATGCGCAGTGCTGATATCAATGGAACATCGCCATGTTGCCGTGCTACAAATGGGAGAATACGCTAGTTAGACAGTAAACATGAATATTTAAAACATGAAAATGGTAATATATACTGGGTCATAGTACCTGTTCAAGGAGAGCGAATACTATTTGCATATTGGCATTACGTAACTGGTTGGATTCTTCTTTGATGAGACAAATACAGATTCAGCTCATTATACAAGACCAATTAAAAACCTATACTCTGTTATGTAGTGTAATAAAAACGCTGACGTTTGTTGTTGTTGAAACAAATACAACACATACACTTTGTCGCTGGTCTCCTCATGTTTGTGCTATCAGCTTAGCTAGATACAAACGACTAGTATATTTGCTGCTAGTAACTACTCCGAAAGTTAGCAGTGATTAGCTATTGAACCGAGCTGGCCAATCCGCTGGCGTGAAGCCTGGTGTTTTTACGCTACTAAAAATATAGTACCTCCATAGAAGAATAACGATATAATCTTCCCGTCTGCATTGCAGTCCCTGAAGAACCGGAAGATATCAAAGCACTGGTACTTGCTTCGGATGCGATTATTGTTAGCTGGCGGCCCCCACGGAAGCCTAACGGACTCGTGCAAACCTATACAGTGTATGAAAAACTCAAAGACAGTTTCGTAAGTTGACAACCTCGCTATGTAACTAAGAAATTATCATTAATCTATACATTAAGTCATTCGTTCTGCAAAATTGACCCGTTTGCGTTAGCTAAATAATTACGCTCCATAGGACTTTCTACCGAAGGGACCGCCTTATAACCATATTATGTCGCTACCGACGGGTATCGTTGGTGTAGGTTGGTACAGTAAATGAAAAATTTCTTGTCTAGAAAGCAAGATGCCACCTGGATTTTGATTGCAGAACAAAGAAAACTCGCGCCGAGTTTCAGTACCATCCGGTCAACTATATCACGAGGTGCGGAACCTTCGATCTGGCCAGCGCTACGAATTTTGGGTGACAGCGTCCACCTCAGTTGGAGAGGGGCCACCGAGCAAACGCGCGTTCCAGACACCTGATATCAAAGGTACATTTGCAATACGTAAACTTTCTATACTATTTCACTTTCTTGATTTTTACGACGACTTCAGTAGCGTAGCGGATATCCTCCTTTTGAAAAATTCACGAATATATTACACGCTCAATGTCTGCGTTCAAGTTCATAAACAGTATTCGCGCTTCCGCTTTGCGGACATAAATGTTTCTAGTCACCAACGCACACGACAAATTTGCCAGACGAAGTTACCTCTCCTCTCGGTAAAAGGTCCGACAGATAGGCAGCTAGCTGCTAAAAAGACTAAAGAGCTGGTCAAATATCTATACGTCGATCAGGAATCCGCAGGCGGTAGTTACGGCGGCGGTATTGGCGGTTCTGGTTGCTGCAGGACCAAGCCCTTCAATGAGTCGATATGCATGGTTGCGTTATAAATGGGCGAACGTTTATTTTAAGGAAGACCGAAAGCCTCAGACCGCTTGACTTCTGCAGTATGCCTTAGCAGTCTCATCCGCTTTCACTTGAGACAGCCTCCTGGGTAGCGAGCAACCACTTCAGTAGGCTGGTGGATTGCACCAGCCTGACCGTGGTCTCCATGGGCGCCTCCTGCTTCTCACCCCCCGTCGCCCCCTGTATACTAGTGTCCATGTATATACATGGCTGGCAAATGCATCGATTGCTTTCAGTTCATTTACATACAAAGGGTCCCTCAAATGCTTCCTAATACCAAACAGTTCAGCCTGGAACGAAACGAAGAGGGAATGCTCAGTTCCAGCAGCTGAAACTAGCAACTTGATCCAAGGCACGGATGAATAAGCCGAAGTGAGAGCATCCGAATGTATTGTGGTTGCCTGATGTACGAAGAAGGGAACGGGGCTACAGAACTATTACGAATTAAATGAGCTTCAACCAGTTCGATTACACAGTTGCCGTCTAGGGTAACGCCTACACCATAATAAGTAAACAGCAAGATAGAATGTCTTAGATATTGTATGATAATAATAATTTAAGATTTGTTTGCAAGGTAGCATACGATTTCGGTATACGTACACGATAATGTTTGTCTTTGCTACTATGATTTACAGCACCAGCTCGCGTAGCATCGTTTAGCCGAGGGATATCAGTTGTGCAGAAACAGGACATTGAACTAGACTGTCGGGTTGCCGGACTGCCCTTTCCTCAGAGAACGTGGAAAATCAAGTAAGATCAGTCATGGCATCATAATGCTGCATTTATCGGCTTCTTCTTTCTTCAGTGGGTTGACGCCTGTATTCTGCACAAGGCATACCGGCGTGTGTATTTCCGTATTCGCAATATGGTCTGTTTGGCGACTGATGCGAACCTTGTATGCCCTGATTATATCCCATATACATGAGAGTAAGACTACCACAACACTACCTACGTTAGTGTTCCTGCTTTTGCCGGCGAGACCTAGACCTCTACAATTTATCTCAAGTTCATATGAGTCCAATCATTTTCCAGCACATGCTTGACGCAGCCTCGCTTACATTACCTGGCATTAGCTTATTGTTGCTCCCGTAGGTTTAACGTAACCTCGTCATTCAGGTCTGTCTAGCTTACTCCTTTTCAATGAAAAGACCTAAATAGGACATATAACTTTCCTGATCGAAATTGTTTGGTTTACACAATTGACTGACTTGTCCTGTACGGAACAATAGCTTGAAAACCCATTTTAATAATTCAGCATCCACAATGCAAACTTAGGCCACTTACGCCGATTGCGTCCATTATGAGTGATATACTCGTTATTTCGTTGCGTACTCAATACATGACAGTAATTTAGCAACATTCACGCTTTTTTGATAATCGGTGGATGTATAATGATGCGGAGTTCCCAGTCCGTGCCTGTAAGATAAACGAATTACTTATCAGATATGTATATATTGTAATTTTTGGTAAATAAATAAAAATTATGTTAGTTAGAATAGCAAATATCGTTTTGAAGATGTTCGACAGTGGTTCAATTATAGCCGTTGTTGAAAGCATCAACGAACAGATGAAGGTTTTTTTGTTCCAGTGATCGGGTAATTTCGAGTGGTAGCCCGCGCATCAAAATGCTAGCTTCCGGAGCCATCCGCATTGAAAATGTAAAGGATAGCGATGCGGCTAAGTATACTTGTCATGTAGCTAACTCATATGGAAAGGACCATGTCGAGTATGCGCTTACCATCGCCTCTGATCCCAGCACTGTTTGTACGTATCATACATGGTAAAAGCTTTCTAACTATAGCTTAATGCATACAGCCAGAACAAACCCCCCTTCTGATCACGACTGCTGCGGCCGCTCATTCTTTCTGTTCAGGCATTTCAGTTCTGAGCAACATTAACGCCATATGCACCTTAAACAGGTCTATTACCTTCTTGTCCGGGAAGAAATTTCACTTGCAAAGAAAAAACTGTCTAAAGCAGAGTGAGCCAAATAATACCTAAACGCTCACCAAAACCTCGATCGTTCACAGCGTGTGCTGTCCGGTTTTCCGAGTACCTGGAGAAGCTATTTGCCTTCAGGCAGACCTTTCTAGCAAGTCTCAGTAGGATAGTGATATTAGTTGTAGTAATAGTTATAGTAGCAGCGAGCATTGGCATGGTAGGATCGAGAAGAGGTATAGCCATATGGGTTGTTACTTTACGCTGGTCCTCACCGGAGTAGTACAAGTGGGTCAAAAGCTTGCTTGCCTGTTTCTCCTCCCAGACTGACTGACTGACTGACTGGCTGGCTGAGAGCGGTTTGGCAGTCCCAATTAGCACAACACAACAGGAATAATATAGCAGAACAAGACAAGGGTGCGTAGGGAGAAAAGAGCACAGGAGAGTTACAGCCACCCTTGCTTCTGCTGCTGCTACGTGGGGCGCTCGTATGTTCGGCTCCTCAACCACGCTTGCTCTTGAAACTAACCCCTATTCGTATTTTCCCTGTGATCTGTTTCATCCGCTGGCTACTACTGGCTTATTTTCGTTGCCCTTGGAATCCACTTCCCGCGGCTTGCCGTTGGCGTTACGGCGCCATCCCTGAGGACCGACTTCGACGCCTCTTACTGCTGCTACCGGTGTTGCGAACTTTTCGGACTTACCAATCCCGCTATCTAGTGCCGCCAAAGCCACAGGACGTCGAAGTTATACGAACGTCATTTAACAGCGTGACGTTGTCTTGGTTACGAAAGAACACATCATCACCTATAACAAGTGAGTAGCAAAATTACAATGCAATAAGAATGAGAATCTATCACGGTCGGAGCCCAGATACTCTGTGAACTGGAACTGATACTGTTGCCGGTTTTAGCCGAGGATACCTTGGGAAGATGCAGTTAGTCAGTCTATTTGTGTCGAATAATAGCAAACGGCACATCGACTTCGCCTTCTTGCCAGTACTGCCTTTGGTTCACGGGCTGTACTAGTTCGACACGTCTTTCGCTTTCTCTGCATCGTTGCTTCCACGCACTTTGCAAGCTTCCCTGCTGGATGCCTTCGAAACAGGCGTCCCTCTCTGGCCAGAACATACGGATAATTCCCAAGGCAGGAAGACGGGAACTGGCGGGCCTCGGCTGGCTGAAGGGCTTGGGGGCCATCGTGCGAACTAGCCGTGGAGACCGATCAACAGTGATCTCATTCATTAGCAGATTTCATTACGATGCTCTCGTAATGTTGTCACTTACAATCTATAAACCCATCGCGTTACTCACTTAGCCGTTCCACTGTGCTCTGTATTCTCCTTGGTCCTTTTCCTTTTCGCCACATTTCGTTCGTGCAATACCTCTACTTTACCGGCCGGCGTCGACTGCCGCTCGAACCGCTAACATCAAACGACGTTCCTGATCTTGATCCCTATTACAATGGCTCTGTGTGACGACCTACCAGGCTACGAGCTCTACTACAGTCGCGAAGCCGGTTCTTGGCTTAAGGTGAAGGTGCCTACCGGCGAAGGCACGTCCGTGAGGATGTCGCACGAATTGATGGGCCTCTACTGCGGCACCCAGTACCAGCTATATCTCATCGCCCACAACCCTAGTGGACATAGCGAGGCCAGCGAGACAGTGTCAACAAAGACACTCGGTGAAGGTAAGGCGAACTACTGTCTAGTCCAATCAATAACCTTTGGCAGATACATAGTGAATATAATCGAGCTAGGTATTCGTTGCAAGACACTGAATCCGACAAGCCTACATTCTAAAAGAGATCGAAGTAATCTAGAATATGCAAAACAATTTGAACTATTTAGCGCGCTATTACTAGCCCGATTAGTGTATAATTATACCAGTACAAATACGATAATCAGTCAATTCGACCAAGTGTGCACAAAAGTATATTATGCACCTATGACCGTGCGTATGCGATGCGTGCATCATCGTTCTGATACTTCACAGTGCCACGTGCCCCAAGAAAAGAGCACTTTATCGTGTCTAACTCGACATCGTTGACATTGCGTCCATCATCGTGGGATGATAACGGTTGTCCAATCTCGCATCTGACCATCGAGTATCGTCCCCGGCCAACCGGTGGAAGCCATTCTCAGTGGATCGTCGTTTCTCGCAATCTGAGCCCAGACGAAGGTCCCATGACTTTACACGATCTCCGGCCAGAAATGTGGTATAGCGTTCGAGTGACAGCGACCAACGATGCTGGCAGCACCGATGCTGAGTTCACTGTGAGAACCGTGCCGAACTCCCACGGTGAGTTAGTAACTGTTGTGATTTTTTTCGATGGTGGAGAAAGCAACGAAGTTTAATGACGATTACATAATCAAAAAGCGCTGTCTATCTTAAGCGTAATGAACCGGTCCCTCAAGTGTTCAAGACAATATAGATTCTGAGAAGTTCGGTAGGCTAATAATGCTACATAGTACCTCATTTTATCGTAGCATTTACACTGGACATCAGCAAACACCTGCCTCATGATGCATTTTATCATATATGTATATGTATGTGAAAAAGGCAAAGTGGCAAGCGACCAAAGTGTCACTCTGATCAGTTGCATCTACCTTTCTAATCGAGCGAATTCTCTTGACACGCGACGATGTCATACCTGACTTAGCTAGAACCTCGAATCATTTCCTCGTTGCTGTGATATTCTCTTAAGCGTGCGTATGGTATCTGTACCACGAACCGCTATCTATGGAAAGGTTTTGTGAAACACGCTGGGCCCCGATCGCAGTCCATTGTCAGAAGCGTCAGTGTGCTTCTGCGGCTATTGTTGGAAGCTGATGGAATAGAACACGAATTATTTATTAGCGAACGTCAAAACGGGACAGCTAGGGAGCTACTGGAACGCAACAGCCTTACGTCGATCACCGAGAGGCCCAATTGTCTATATGTGCCTAGCTTATTCCTCCTTTGACTGCTTTGAATAATCCCATTTTGTTTCTTTATTTTGCGGTACGTTTTTATTCGCCTTGCAACACAGTGACTCCTGAACTAATGGTGCACGATCAGAGCTACGAGGATCTCGCCTTGGTTGTCCCACTGGTCGTTATTGTACTCGTTATTGTGGCAGGCGTACTCACATCGGCCGCACTCCTTTTCTGCTGCAAGAATAAGGCAACCGCATTGGCATTTTTCAAGCCCCAAGACATGTCAGGTAGGTACAACGTCAGTCTAGATAATTAGGAAAGGCTGCTGTTAGCTGGCATAACCGGGTCCAAGTTGGGGATTGTCGATGCCGGTCCCGCACAAGCCTCAATCAGTGATAATGCAACATCTACAAAAGTTCGAAAGAACACGTCCAGACCGCCTTTTACAGTGCTGTACGAACTGCCGATTCTGCGAGCTATACTAACTTTTCCAGTATTAGCGGCGCTCGTTTGACCTCTGCGTTAGCTCCGGCGCGTCAGCAGAACTCGCGCGGCAGCTCGTAAGGATTAGACTTCTAATCCCGCAAGTTCTCTTATCGAGTTGGTAAGGTGTTGCTGTGTGTGGTATGCTAATGTGTGACCGACGCTGTCGCTGGCGACATCATCCGGTAGGATTGTTTGGCGAGAGCGTCGCTCGACCTTGGAGATTCTTAAGCTCTGGGGCTGACCAGCAATTTTTGCCATTCACTATTACTTCTGTAGGAGCAGCAGCAGCAGGACCCCTCCGCCGCAAGAAAGCGGCTGGTGTGAGTGCTATCGGTTCTCTTGGTAGCATTAAGCAGTTAATCAGTATAGACGACGTGAAAGGCCTAAGTAACAACCAATATGCCTGAAGCGTCGCTGCAGTTAATTTATGTATGACTCAAATAAACGCAGTCAGATTTTAGGTAACCAGGTGCTATGTATTGGTTTAAGTGACGCCTATGGGACATTGCTTCCTTTCGTGTTCGGCTTGGCTGTCCTTTTTAGTGATGCAAAGGGAAAACCTTACAATAAGCCCCGCTGAGACTGCACTTATGGAAGCCAAAGCGAATCAGGAGGTCACCCGTCAGCTCTGTCTGGGACTTGGTTCTCCTAACCGTAGGATAGCGCCGTCCGCCGCACAACATAGTGAGTAGGAGCAATGCGAATAGTACTGGCCGTCGTGGTAGTGATGGCTACACGTAAGTGTACCAGGGGGTAGTTTTGTGGTGCTATTATGGTGGAAAGGCCACATTCCGTTCAACGAACATGGTGGGAGGCAAGCCATAGGGCGGCGGGCGCTTTATTGAGAGAGACAACGTAATCATCTATCACTGCCTAAACGTCTGAAAGCATGCACGCGCGAAACCAGTCGCCAGCCGCGGTAGTTAACTCAGCGTGATGCAACCTATCCTTGTAGCCCTTGGCTTAGATATTGGCTCCCGGAGCGACTTCCACTTCTCGTCAAGTTTGCCTGGCCACAGTTGCTGTCACGGTATGTAGAGACATATAACAAAGATTCGTCTCTATGGATTTCTTCTCTAGACGTCATGAAATCGCTTGAATAATAAAATTCTATGATGTTACATTATTGTTGTAGCCGGTTCGATGGACGATCTGTCGTCATTCGGAGTGTACGATGATTTACAAAAGCCAGGCGCTGTGCCATCGAAACAGGTCAGTCAGCAGACGCTGAGCGTGCTTGCTCATCCACATTTAACAACAAAGCCGCTCATGGCGACGGCTACCTTGAACCGGCATCGCCGACGACCACCTCCGTTCTCGAAGGCAGCTAGCAACGACAGTAAGTACATATTATAAGATATATTTGTCCTACAACTGTATCCTTCCTTTTCGCCCTACTTACCTATCCCACAACGTCATCCGCCTCGTTCATCACTATCAGTCTTCTGCACCCAAAACTCTTTTTGTACAGTATCTAGATTTCTGTAGAACGTAGATTTCTGTAGAAGTATAATTTTCTTATGCCTTAAACCCTTGCATCATGTAAACCTAAGCCTTTAGCTACTATTGCTACTTACATCCCTTGGCCTTTCTCAATATTCGCTCGAATTCGACCATTTTAGTGTGCTGTGTCGTAGCTGTCAGTCACGCCTCACCGTCTGCTATTCCGGCATTCATGCGGCAGAACCAAACACGCGCAATACTAACATGGGTGGGTAGCACCCTCGCTAGCACGCCGAAATCTTTTCCGTCTGTCCGCTCTCATTTGCAGCCTGCGATACGCTTCTCCGGTCCAGTGAGCCCTCGCCTTAGTTACATTTTTTTTCCCAACCCACAGCTTTCTCCTTCTACTCGTTCCACATCAGTGGCCCCTCATGCATGCCTATATGGCAGTTCTCCGACTGCTGGCTTATTTCCTTTTGCGCTTTCCAGCGCAAATGCTGCAGCACCGTGAATTCCATTCGTTCAAATGGGAGACTGTATCGCACTGCTGTTGGGAAGAGATATCGCAATGCTGAACCACTTAGCTAGGAGTCGCTGTTCGTACTCTCCTCGATCCTACTCTTAGCATATCCCAAGCAACATCCATCTTTCCTTTTTTTGCGATTCGTTACGGGGGTGTTCAGTGCGATGGCCGGGCCAGTCTGGTCCGCTATTGAATCGTTGGTGTTCTATTGCCCGCGCCGTGCTCTCCACGTTCGCAATCGTAGCTTCGTAGTGTAGAGTTCCGCTCATTCACGTTGGCTCACGCGTCACTCGGCCTGTCCATCTCACACACTACATGTGCTGCGTTTCTTGAACGCACTTACAGATATCCTCTGTGAGAAATCCAATACAGCACAGAGTAATCACTACGACAACCCAAGAAGCAAGAACTGGGAGAACGGTGCATCTTCAAACAGCAGTGGCGTTACGAGTGGTGCCGGAGGTGGACTGGCCGCTGTGGCCGCCAATGGGCCTACTTCCAGGCCCTTCCTCTTAGCAGATTCGCGGACACACGACTGCAGTAAGTTCTTCAGCACCTACTAAATCTTTCTCGCTGCCAAACCCTCCTAATATTAACCAGTCCCAAAGAAACAAACTTCTCTCTGACCTTTTTGACGAAGATAACAGGAAGCAGAAACAGATTTGAAAAAGGAAAAAAACGAAAGAAAAATTGAGGTAAACTGAGGTAAATTGAGGTAAAAATTCACCTGACGCCCCAAAATGCTGTTTAGATCATCAAAGGTTTGACACGTATTGGCTCCAGGAATCGTAGCGACAATGTCCGGCATTTGGTTTCCTTCCAGCACACTTTTTTCATAGGGGTGCCGGAGCTGATGGGAGAGAAGGAGGAGGAGCTGGAAAAAAAGAAAAGGCCACGTCGCCAACCTGAAATCCCGACGCCATTGCTGTAGGCAACTTACCAATTTGTTGTGCGAGATCCCGTGTTACTTGCGTCCCTTTAGAGATGATTGAAATCTTCGAAAAAAAAAACAAACCAAACAAAGATACTAGTATAACTATAAATTTTGTGAGCAGTTGCCGCCAGGCTGTCAGTGGCACGTGTAAGCTGCAAGCTTGAACGAAACACCCGTATCTGTTCGTTTTTAGACAAAGATGCATTGATTTTCTTTACCACCCCTTTTATACTATAGGATTAGAAACAGACATCTGTTAATTGCTCCTTTCTAAAATAGTTGTATGGGTTGTAGACTGCTCTCACGCTTAAGGTGCTATAAGCGAGCATCATTGCTGAGACAGCCAAAGTAGACCTTCAATATTCGGAAACGATCGCGCTTTTTCTACTGGTGGCAAAAAAACTACACGTTTGCCTGATAACCTGGGACATATAAGTGCGTATTCCATTTAATGTGTAGTTTTCAGCGAAGTGGCGTGAGTGAATTCCGGTGACTGGTTGGTACACCCTTTTGTCAGTTCCGTGTTAAGCTTTCGCAGTCCATTGTTCTTGCCGCTATCTGTCGCTGATGCGCGTCCTGGTCGTGCAATGCTGGTCTTGTGCTGCACATCGCCTGACCTTCTTCATGTTTTAGTGTCCCCTTCTGTGCGCGCAAACCGTGTTCTGTGGCAGCCCTACCTTGCGACCAGCTTCGCCGCGGCCACGATAAACTGCACGTTCCGCCGCATACTAAGCGTATCCTTAATCTATTTAAGCCACAGTAGCACCTGAGGGAAAAAAGCGCGCGTTCTCTTCTGAACAGAGCTGTAAAAGTGGGACACAATTGTAGTTACCTACGAATAGAGCTACATCTGTGTCTGGGGCACGACGAAAAAAAGGAATGAATACGTAAGGAAAGGACGAAATTTGCTTAAACAGATTTAACTAGACCTCGGTCTTCGACGGTACTTCAAATTCTCATAAGAGATATAGAGACTGTATAGAGACAAAATAGTTCCACACAACAACACCAACAGATAAGCCGGTATCTGGCCAAAAAAGAAGCCCGAATGACTTGTCGGGGAGCGTTCAGCTGGTACCTTTTTGTACAACCCCTATGTCTGTTGCTGCTACGACAGCCACTACCAACTAGACGAGAACGCTGCTAGCCATATACCCTCTATTTACCCTATATTGTATGATGTGATTTCACAGTGTTTGGCGCTTTCCATCTAGCACGAACTCTATCTAGGGTACATGAGCTAGGCTCTGCGATGTTTGATAGCTAATCTTTTGCGTGTGCGTCTGTTCTAATTGTTCGCGAAAATACATACATACTTATTACGTAAGTACAAACTTACTTTCATCGTATCCAGACAGGTGTCGTTATATTGAATAACATATCGCAAGTACATGTCTGTCCATGCTGTATGTATCATAGCATTGCTATGTTCGAGAAAGTGTTCGAGCTGATTTCCCATGACAGCTTAGTGGATAACGTATTGGCCTGCTAATATTAAGGACAAGCTGTGGTCTAGGTACGAATCTAAGCACACACCACTTTGTCACGCAGTTAATAGCGATGTCGGATGTAAACCCTTTTGAGCTGTGGTTAACGAGCGTGAGACTACGATGCCAACCCTGGTCGAGGGCATCTTGAGGGAGTCCTAGGTTCATTACCTTATAATAATATTGTCGTATATAATTTGAAGCGGAGAGCCAAAATTATTAGTATTAATATATTGGTTACTGCCAGCTTAGCCACAGCACAAATGACTGTAGCTCCTCATTTTATCCTTTGCACAATTGTAATGCTACTTTGTAACTCTTCCGCAGAGCTCATGCACAATAAATAACTAATGGCGGTCGGTTTTTGTGTTAAATGAACCTGACTGGGTGTGGATGTCCTTGAGTGTGTCATCGGTGTGTTATATACGATGAATCCATTTACTGGTTCATTTGCTTCGAATGATAGAAAACCATCATTTTTATAAAAACCCTTATCAATGAGCTACAAAAATACTATCAATAATTGTTCCAGAACCAATAGCAATGGAAATCTTTGACTACGAAACGCCAATGGGCACCATCAAGGAACGCCAACGGCTTGGCCATCAGACTCTGGCGTCTACCTCGTGGAGAGAGGCGGATCGATTCGAGCCTCGAGTTCGAATGTAAGTAACTCGTTATATCGTAATAGATACGAAACACGTATTCGTATAGGGCAACACGGGAAGAATTATAGGATAGCAAATACATTCTTGCATCATTATGGTGCAATACAAACCCGTTGTCTAAATTGTTTCACGTAATTATATAAAAAAGTAGTCGTTTATGCAGTCTAAATACTATCTTCAATTAAGGTATAAACACACAGTGTAGTTCGATATAATCTTTCACGTACGTCTGGATCTGTAGCGAACAAGCTAAGCTAACGAATCGCGATCGTACAACGAAGCCCTAAGAGACGCTAGGCATAGTTAGCCGGGCCTTAATGAATCGTAGGGAGTTGTCGTCGAAAGAAAAAACCGAAACAAAGCCGACCCGTTCGATGCGTTTATCGTCAGCGAGCGGAACGTTCAAGGCGACCCACTGGCGGCCAACGAAGTCATGGCCTCTTTTCCTCATCCACTTATTTGCATCTTAAGACGACGTCCCTCCCGCCGCGCCCTATAAACATCCACGCCTGACTCAACTAATGAGACTTTTGCTACGCCGGCCGCTGCTTTTGTAGGCATAATATTGGAATTCTTATGAATGAATGTCCCTTGTTTTGTCTGCCTGTGTTTCGTCTAACGTGCCAGACAGGCAGTCTCGCAATATTTACGTCCCTACTATTTGAACGGCCTGGTTTTGCTGCATTGCTTCTACTCGTAAGGGGCAAGACTCGACTTTTTTCTCTTTTCCCCCTCCTCGATTATTTTCTGTCCACTGCCTTTCTCTCATTGTTCGCTGCTCGCCTCTACTTTGCCTCAAGGTGACTCCAAGCTGTTACCCGTTCATTCGAGCTCTCGTTGTATGGCCCCTCCGTTCGCTGCAGTGACTGCAGCGGCAGTAGTATTGTATGCACGAGGCAAAGGTAAGAAGAAAAGCAGTGAGAGGCTATTGTATACTCAGAAGTGTGCTGCTGACAGCGGTCCGATGCTGTTGCGACTTGACTCACCGGCAACAGCAGTGGCTAGTAAAATCCCCGATGGTGGATAATTGGTGTGGCCATGGCATCGTTGCGAATGGCAGTCAGTGTTATTGCTACGGCTGTGAAATACAGTTGGAATGCTCCCTTGCGCGCTGATTTGCGAACGAAAACTTACCTACAACTACGGCGGAGCTGCAATACTGCGAGGTGGCTGGAAGTTACTGCTGTTCTCGTCGACTCATTACCGCGATTGGCTTGGCATTTGATATATGACATTAACAAGACGATGTAAAAACGACTTACTTTTCTAGCAAGCCAACAGTTAATCAACACATAAACGGTGAGGCCTACACTGCCATAGTCTGTTTCTATACTACTGCTCAGAGGAAGACAGAGGGAGAGAAAAATAAAGAGCGATAGAAAGCTTCCATTGCTCACGATGCTGCCTTGAGCCGTGGCCGAAGTTACGTAAAACCCAGTTCTCTTTCCTTAATGCTCCTGCGACTAACATCGCTCGCCTGCCTTTTTTCCCCGATTTCGACTTTCACTTCATCATCATACGTTGCCCTTAGAGGGCGTTGGACTCGATAGTAGGGCGGTCGGCCAACTTTGCTACATGGTGACATTGCCCTTGCCTGCACATACCGGCCCCACTCAGGATCTTGGCGGTGGGAGCCTTGTTGGCCTGAAAGTAACAAGCGGTGGTTATAGCGGTGGCGAGTGTTAGGACTGCAATAGAGTGACTGCTGTCTGAGGTCGTGTTTTTATGCTGCTAGTGCCACAGCGATTTCCCCTTTTTTCCCTCTGCAACACTCTATCCCGCTGCTACATAGGGGTAGCCTCAACGGCAGCAGTAACGGCAATCGAGAAATTCGTATAGCGTCCCCACAGCTCAGACCGCTGCGGTAAGACTCACCCGAATCTAGCAGCAGACGACAAATAAACACACCAACGAATAAAGGCATCGAAATAACACATGCTTCATGTGTCTGACTGAGCCCACGAAATAGTGACAGCAAATACAGAAATAATGAAAGACAGTGTGGCTTACATGCGGCGGGGTCTTGTCGTCTGCTAAAGTTCTCACTACGAGCGCTGTTGGCCTATGCCGCCTCTTACAACGGGCATATCGTACGTGTCCTTTACATTACCTGTGTGTCTCGCCAGCGACAGTCGATCAAGTGAATGGACCTCAACGTTTGCTCCCCTTGCCTGCTGCGCACTGATGCTGCTCAATCCGTCACTGCGCTACCTCACACGACCCTTCCACGACCTCGTAGTTTGTTTCACTGCAGGAAAGGTCTAGAAGGGTCGTCGAGCTCTATCGCTATTCTGTAAGCATTTAGAAGACAGCATTTAGAAGCTAGCGAAAGCGTAAAATGCTTGCCCCCCCTTGAAGAAGGAAGTCGAGAGAAAGCATATGAAAAACTAAAACGAAAAGTAATATGAACTGAGGAGCAATTACTTGCATGAAACTCGCACTGATCATCTTTAAACGGCCCTTCACAACCATCGGAATGTTGAGCGGGAGCAAGGGGAACGACGGTGGCGACACATAGCACGAAATCGTCGTCACATTCGCGTTCCTGGCGTAGTCTCCGTTGTCTTTGGCGCCAACTTTGCGTGGCGCGAAGAAGTATGCCGGCTCTATCGTTGGTTCGCCTCGTGTCGACAGAATAAGGCTTTTTTTTTATGAGGATACAACCTCCCTCGCCCCTTTTGTCCAAAAGGGGAGCTCTCGCCGTCGGCCAGGTCGTCGGCGTGGACGACGGCGATGCAGCAGATGCGCGTTGAAACGGGCAAATGTTTAACACGACCGACCAACCGCCAGATGCCTGCTTTCTATGGAATGTAGATCTGGAGCCCTCAAAATATCGTATCGCCCAACGTGTGAAATCGACAATGATCACACCTATACTCGACCAAAGCCACTCTGATGAGCGTGAGTCTGGATTTGAAACCACTACCGGACCTATATGAGTCGGATTTTATACTCATCTGAAGGTTTAAGAGAGCCGTCGAAGTCAGAATAGCAGAATGTGTTTATAAAGAGCACAAACGAATATACATGCACATGGCGATGTACCCACAAAAAGCGCTCGTTCATTTGCTCTTACGTAATTGCAAGGCTGACGTTTGTATTAATTCATAGCGAAGGGCGACCTTTTAAGTTAATGAAAATGCATTATACTTGAGCACACGAATATGTATTAATGTGTTAGCATTTTCTCTTTTCGATAAGTGCTTCGAACGTTAAGGTGTCTTGAGAACTTTCGAATTGTGCTTTGCCGGCCTAGGTTTTGCCATAGCTATACAACAAAATCTTATGAACAAGCGTTGAAAATGTGAACTCCGAGCAGAGCCAAACATATGGAGGCAGTTCCTGAATGCGATGTGTAAACCATAGGACCACGGTAATCAGATGCTCTGCTTGCCTGTCATACAGTGAGGAAGGACCAGGCCGACATGTCGAGAAGCCAACAGAAAAACTGTGCGTGTACGTGTGGGTGTGAGGAAAAGAAGCTGTGCATTCACCTCTGGGCAGCTTTGGCTGACATCTGAAACAGAGGGGATGAATACAAATGAAAAAGGCTATTTTCTCTTAGAAATCAACATTTGTAGAAATTGCCTACACAAAGTATTGCTCGATATATATATATATATATCTGACTCTGTGTACTCCGAAAGCGTCGGGCAGCAATCTAGCAAATCTTTGCGAAGTTAATAAGGAAAAAGCACAAACGTCCTATTGCGACAAGTTTTGTATGACGCTAAATTGTTATCGGTCTGCATGCGCAAAACTTTTGTATGTTCATGTTTGTCATGCGCCTAATACGCTGTCGTTCTAGGGATGACCATTTCTACTTGGATAACGAGGATTGCACAACCAAATTCGACGGTGACTCCTCGTATGAAGGAGCTGATCCGAACGGTGGAGGGCACAATAGCCGGGATGACGCCAGCGCAACCAGCGACGATGCAACGAGTAGAGGTAAACACTTCATTCATTCACATGTATACTCAATATATCTATCGTTACATCTATACATATTCGGAAACAGGACATAATCGCTTAACAAAGGACATTTACTTCTTTATTACTAGCAAACGATGCATGCTCCTGACCAAACTCTAACGTCGGCATACGCTATTAATTATGCTATATTGCCAAAAAGTAAACAAAGGCGTCTGCAGTCGAAGTTCGTACAATAGATGTATAACTAATTAAGGCTAGGGAATTTTAGGGGGCTTAGAAATACTTGCACCGTATACATAGCATATAACTATTAAAATCGCTATATTATTTGAACTATAATACTTCCTATTCTTATCATAAAACCGATATATCATATTTTTTCTTAATGTATTAGGTGTATAAACAGAGTTCGAAGCCATTCCATTACTATTGCTGGTTTCACGCAAATAGCCAAAACGGTCGCAGAAAATCTGTGGTCTTCCCCTCCCTGCGCTTCTGCGCAGTAATTAACAAGCAAACCAAGCACTGAAAACCAACCTCTCAATGGGGTTTCTCTCTTCGGTCGACCCGTCTGTCGCCCATTTGGTCATACGGCCGCCCGGCAGCAACGAGCTACAGACGAAGTTCATTTAGCAGCTTGGCTGGCATAACCTAGCGGTTGGGTGTGGCAGCTATTGAGATCAGTTCAGTTTGTGCCAGAGACGAGGACCTGCCTCCGGACTGTTCCATGCTGTAAACGATGACTGGTATCGAGACAACAGACTTACGTCCGCCGTTGCCGTCGTTGCCTATAGTACTCTTCTGCTTTGTGTTTCGCTATTCTGAGCGGACGCAGCAGAGCTGATGTCCTGCCGAACGAATAGCCAATGTTCTTCGCGGTCAAATGCCCCAGGCGCGGTTCATTGATGAGATAAGTGGGCGGGAAATGTTGGCACTACTGGTCGGCGTTGGGAGCGCCGCCGTTTCGCTGGCGAGCCGCCGTCGTCGCTGTAGCAGCGCTAGTAAAGAGCGCTCCATTTCCCAAAGGAAGGACAATGGCCGAGAGCGCAGTGTCGGTTGGGCTAGTAGTCGTGAGTGGTTGCGGGCCGGACCCGGTCGAAAGACTGTAATGTTTCGATCGACTAAGACGAGCCTTCTTGTTCGTTACTAGCCGGGCTTCGAAAGCCCATTGAAAGCTCGAGAACTGCCTTGGAAAATCCTAAAAGCTAATAAATGTTCGGAGAAGACGACTAGCGTGGGGCAAGCGTACTGATGGGCATTACTGGCTACCGAAGGCCTATTGCTACAAACAGGCAACTCTGCTAAATTCATATCATTGTTGAGTAGGTCTAGTTAAAACGAAAACGGGCGAAAAAACTTCGTGGAGTACGGCGAACATCAAGGATGCTTGTCTTTATGGTTGGATGAGTAAGCGCCGCTTGATGAATTTTCACATAATTTACACAGTAAACAATCGCAGGTATTTTTACAATGTTTCTGAAGCAATTTTATTTAATACATTGCAACGCTACACCTTCCATTACATGGAAGGTGTAGCGTTGAAGGTAACGCGTCGAGTGCGCGTTCTAATGGAAAAGGTCAAGGCCAGTCAACCAACCGAAAACTTTGAATGAAAATGAAACTAAGGACCTTCATAAGAAAAAAAAATGCTCTAGATTTAAGCTTGTTCAAAGTTTCAAGTTATGTACACATATATGGATCGCTGATTTGCGTAAGTTACGCTAGCCTCCTTGTTTTGAATCTCTACCAGACCGTTCATATGAAAGTTTCGACGTTCACTAAATACGCATCGGTACTACGTAAGTTAGACAGCAAAATTCATAAATTAATTGTATCGTTAACTCTGAATTGAATAACAGCCGCCGACAATGGCCCAGAGAAACTGCGCCGTGGCAACCCGCGGAACGTAATTTAGGTTGTATGAGAAAAGCCAGCCCCTTTGATAGAGGCTGGGAAACAAAGAAGAAAAATGCATTATTCCCATTTCGGCTTTATTTAATTTACTTTGTTAATTTATTAAAATCAACTTTATTTTATTTACGTATTCATGCATGTAGTATTTCTTATGTGTGAGACGAGAAGTGTGTTCAGAAGCCTTAGCTCACACAGGAATTTTTTTTCTCTACATTCGAGCGCCGTTTGTATTTAAAGTTCCTCGAGTAAAAACATGTAAAATTATTGAGAAAAACGTATATTCAGTGCGAAATGCACAACAGTGGGACAATAGAAACGTTTTTCTTCAAGCCGTAACAATTTGTACGTAACTCGTGTACAATCGTCCAGTTAGCCAATGTGAGAGCCATCATATTATCGTAACAAATGTAACTATTATCAACAGATAAGTACGTATCGTGCTTGGTTGAAATAAGACCACGGATGTATAACTGATATGTGAGACGGTTTTTTTTTTTTCTTTTTTTGTTGTTGCCGTTAGAACAAGTCCCAAGCAATATTTCATGCCATATTAGTTGCCGAAGCGCCGGAGATGAGCCGAAGCGCCCGAGGAAATAACGACCTGCGAGTTTTTCGCAGCTGCATATATGTACTGCAATTCGTAATGGCTTTTACGAAGCGCAGGCCCGATCGTAACATGCTGAACAGAACGTTGCGTGGTATCGTCTAGGGACCTCGCTTAAATTCTGTATCGTGCTTATGGCCATTATGCATTAAACATTAGCTCTTTACGGCTTACTGCTGCCATCCAGCTGACCGCCACCACTCCTTTGGAAAGACCTTGTTGAGGGATGTCACTGGCCCTGGAAACGATGCTTATTCGTTTAACAAAATCCATTTTTATCACGCCAGCGTTTATGCAACAATATTTCTATGTGTACTTAGCTATCTCTAACAAGTTTGCTTATTTTTACATGTGTGACTGGCTTGTATATCCTATTAACTAGTCGCTCGTTGCAACTGACAGTTTATTGGAATTGAATCCATTTATTTTGCTGTATATGTTG